AATGTCTCTTGACAGTAGTGCTACACTATCATATCAGACAATATGGCACAAAGACTGTAATGAAATTCTCTCTGAAGACTCCTGGGCCCATATATGGTCTTCCCCTTCATTTCATTCTAAAATCACTGCAATGAAAATGCAGACGTTCAAAATACTAGCACACTGGTACCTCACGCCACACAAACTGGCTTGTATCAATCCCGTCTACAGCCCAAAATGCTGGAAAAAATGTGATAACATAGGCAATTATGTACATTGTTGGGTTTTATGTCCCAAAGTGTATCCTTTTTGGAAAGTAGTTTTATCCCAAATCAAAGCTATCACAGGCACAGAAGTTTTCTCCACACCAAGGCACATATTTTTGAACAGATGGGATGTTCACCGTGTTTCCACATCCACTATAGAGAGGGTTTCTCTATTGCTCTACGCAGCTAAAACTGTCATTGCCACACTGTGGAAAACGACAATGGCACCCACTCTTTCACAATGGCATAAAAACTTGTGGGATTTATATATTATGGCTAAACTCTCGGACAATCTTACGTGATTTGATAAAGTTTCAGCTCCTACCACGTTCGTATCTACATGGTTCCGTATTTTAAAATATCTTTCTGAACAAGCCGACATCCCTAAAGTGATGGATGTTTTATGGATATGGTAATGTGATGTATTTCAATCTAGCCAATTGGCATTGTATTTTGTCTTACCAGTTTGTAGGTTATGTTATCTCAGAACAAATCTCTTCAAAGATTCTCCATTCATATTCAATGTTCTCTATGGTGTTAAAGTGCATTTTATGTTTTCCTAAATAGTCTTTTACAGTTTAATGCAAAAGTGTAATAATTTCCCATACTTGCATTTCGTGTTTGTATTACACAGTAAAACAAATAAAAACTTTATTGTAAAAAAAAAAAAGATTAACAGAATTTGTGGCAGGGGACGAGCTTTCATGAGTCACTGCTCACTTCTTCAAGTATCTGAAGAAGTGAGGAGTGACTCACAAAAGCTCGTAACCTGTCACAAATTTTGTTAAGTCTTTAAGGTGCTACTGGACTCTTTTTTCCACCACTGCAGACAGACTAACACAGCTACCCATCTTGGTCTGTCCTTTTATTTGAAACTATTTAATTCAGGCAGGTGAAACTGTGACGCCAACCTTCAAGGGAAGAAAGAAGGGGCAAGCAGCAGGGTTGGCGTCCAAAGCAAAAGCACAAAAGGTGCCTTTGATTCGGAGCAATCCAACATGGCACAAAAATGAAAATAAGTAAAGAAGTGAAGGGATTGTATGGCAATGCTCCCAAGATACTGAGGGCCAACTCCACAGGACCAGAATTCTGTGACTGGACACAAGAAAAGGGAAGACTAATAGTGCCCGGTTAAGCCAGTCTACTCCGAATCCTAGTCCGGTCTATTCAGTGGGGTTGTCTCCCAGGAAAGAGTTCTTAGGAGCACATGGTAAATTCTCCCCCAACATCAGGTTGTTCTCCCAGGTGAAAATGCCCTCCAGCAACTGCTCTAAGCCATGGTAAGGAGGAAAAACCAGTTAGTGCTAGTGCTTCAAGGAAGAAGAAGAGGAGATTGGATTAGATTGGATTTATATCCTTCCCTTCACTACCCAAAGGAGTCTCTGAGTGGCTTACAAACTCCTTTCCCCTCCCCACAACAGACATCCTGTGAGGTAGGTGGGGCTGAGAGAACTCTGACAGAAACTGCTCTTTTTTCAAGAACAGCTCTGACAGAACTGCGGCTTGCCCCAGGTCATCCAGCCAGGTGCAAGTGGAGGAATGGGGAATCAAACCGGGTTCTCCCAGATTAGAGTCCGCGCACTTAACCACGACACCAAACAGGAAGCTGAAGGGTGAGGGGCAGTGGTTAGCGTTTTGGACTAGGGTCTGAGAGACACAGATTTTAAATTCCCCACTTGGATGTAGAAGCTCACTGGGTGACCTCGGGCCACTCACACATTCTCAGCCTAACCTAACTCACAGGGTTGTTGTGAGGATAAAATGGAGCAGAGAATAATGTTGTAAGCTGCTTTGGGGGGCCCACTGGGGAGAAAAGCAGGACACAAATGAATGAAATTTCCAGTCAGGAGAATACCATGTGGGAGAAGAATTAAATCTTCCCCTCTTGAACACCATGACACACACACATCCCAGCCACCACTCATTCTAGGACCAAGTTACACATCTGGGATTCTACTTGCAAACTCCAGCTTCAGGTATAATTCAGCCTTCAGTTATATTTTACTCTGATAATCATAAACAGCTTCTATACAAATGCAACAGATTGCATAAAATGTTCCTAAATCGTACGAAGCAGCTTTTCAAAAATACTTTTGAGTCAGGCCTGAGTCTGAGGTAATAAGCCCACATCTGTACATTGTACCACTTCTGACTGGATGTGTGGGCTCACAGGAATGGATATTCCTCCATGAAGAAACAAAAAATCCACACACAAAGAAACCCAGCATGTCAAGAATGGGAGGCCTTGTCCCTGACCTCTAGTTTTCTATATGCAGGGAAATGTTATACAGAGGAACACTGTCACGTGACATCCCCTGGCACTGGAGGAACCCCTAGATTTACCATGTTATTTAGGGAAAAAATATCTCCAGACCAGCAAAGTTGACTGCTATGCATTTAAGCATCGATTAGTGCTTTTCTCATGGGAAGGATTTTGCTCCCCCACCCCCCAACCTGACACTAAAGATAGATGCACTTTTTAAAACAGCTGCAAAAGGGAATGGTCACCGCTGGGAAAAAATAAATTCTTCTTTTCTATCATAATTCTCTTGTGCTGGTTCCTAGGCCTTATCTGAAGTGACTGAAACCATAATGAACCTGTGAACAATTTCCATTGCATCATAAATTTCTAATTTCAGCATGGATTCTGCAAGTGTGGTATCCCTGGCTGCTGGTCAAAATCCCAACGTTGATTCCAAGAGGATCAGAAGAGAAACGAAACCCACCCTGCTGAATATTTCATGTCTCTTGCTGATCGTGAGGGGACTGTCACACCCTGAATTTTGAATTTGTTTTCCCCAGCTTTTATAATATACCTTTTGTTCTTCCAGGCCCCATGGCGGGGAGGGTGTGTGTGCCAAGGGTGCTAAAACTGTTTAAACTTCTATGGAACCGGTGTAGTGGTTAGTGTTTGACTAGGACCTGGGAGACCGAAGATCGAATCACTACTCTAAAATGGAGACTCTTGGGGTGACTTTGGGCCAGTCACTTTGTCTCAGACTAACCTATCTTACAGAACTACAGTTGTAAAGATATAATGTAGGAGAAGAAAGTTGTATGGTACTTTAAATCTCCATCAGACAGAAAAGCAGCATATAAACGTTGATTCCAAGAGGATCAGAAGAGAAACGAAACCCACCCTGCTGAATATTCCATGTCTCTTGCTGATCTCTCTCATGAGGGGACTGTCACACCCTGAATTTTGAATTTGTTTCCCCCAGCTTTTATAATATACCTTTTGTTCCTCCAAGCCCCATGGCGGGGAGGGTGTGTGTGCCGAGGGTGCTAAAACTGTTTAAACTTCTATAGAACCGGTGTAGTGATTAGTGTTTCGACTAGGACCTGGGAGACGGAAGATCGAATCACTACTCTAAAATGGAGACTCTTTTTGGGCCAGTCACTTTGTCTCAGACTAACCTATCTTACAGAACTACAGTTGTAAAGATATAATGTAGGAGAAGAAAGTTGTATGGTACTTTAAATCTCCATCAGACAGAAAAGCAGCATATAAATAAATAAGTCTTGAGCAGTGTATGTATCAGGTTTCTTGTTCCTAAAGAGGCATCCAAATCTGTGACCAAAGGTAGTCAACAGCAAATGCCTTTATGTAGTCAGTTATGTAGTTATGTAGTCACAGGTACACATAGCATGAGGCCACCCCCCAACATCTCAAACCAATTCATTTTACTTCAATTATACCCCATCCTTCTTCCCAACGGAAACCTAAACCAGCTTAAACGGTTCTCCTCTCTTCCAATGTTCCCTCACAACCACCCTGTGAGGCAGGCTAGACTGAGAAATGAAAGCATGAGAAGAGGCAAGGAAACTCCCAGCATCCAGGCCCTTGCTGTGTTTTGCTTGCTCCGTAACAGAAGGTTGGCCCCCTTGTATTTTGCAGGGGTGGGTGGGTGTCACGTCCCTTGTTTTGGAGGGAAATGTATTGATCTTCTGTTATAACCCCCATCCCGAGTTATCAAAGCAACTTGAACACTTGTGTCTAGCACAGACGAGCTTTAATAATTTTGTGGTATATTTTACATCCTACATTTTGAGGGACAGAATTATGGTCAGATTTATAGTCTTTTGACTATGTCTGTACAAAATTTCAAATGTCTCTAGGCCGTAGGGATTAAAAAAAAAAAAGTATAACAGGGTTTCAGCAGAAGAGGATCCCAAAATAACGGAGCCGCTCCTATTTTGGTGGGTGTCTGTAAGCCTTTGGACAGTGTTACGGTGACGAGACAGTGGGTCTCCAAAGAAAGATAAGGCGAGAGGGGCCGTGGCTGAGTGGCCGAGCATCTGCTTGGCACGCAGAAGGTCCAAGGTTCAATTCCCACCATCTCTAATTAAAAGGACCAGACATCTGGTGATGTGAAAGACCTCTGCGTGAGACCTCAGAGAGCCACTGCCAGTCTGAGCGGACAATCCTGACCTTGATGGACCCAGGGTCTGATTCGGTATCAGGCAGACATCTGTGTTCAAGATCCATTACGGCAAGCCATGGTTTATTAACGCTGAACTTCCTCAGCACCTCAAGACCCTTACGACACAACAAGAAAAGACCACACAAACATGGACTAGAGAAACCAAGAGCCACAATCCTTTCCCTTCACAGATCTGTGTTAATGAGGGGGGGGGGGGAAATAATTCTAATGGGAAAGGGGCATGTCAGTCACAGCACGCAGGAGTTTTGCGGCACCTTCAAAATGAACAATTCCACGGTGGGGCAAAAATCAGTTTTAACTTCTGACAGCCTTACTGAAATGGTGCTAACCTAAAAGGCGCCACCGAACTCCTGTTTATTAACAGCGCGGAAACACCTTTGCAATTCTGACGCCCCCATAACATCCAGTCATTACCCACGTTATAAAATACACACATATATATATATCCGTGTGTGTGTGTGTGCATGTATATAAAGTCTCAGCATTTATTAGGCTTTCAGTATGAGTCTGTGTAGAAACGCGGCAATACCTCCTCTTTCTTCCATTTTATGTGCCCCTAAAATGGCTTCCCACCATGGGGAACTTTGGCACAGAGAGAACTTTGGCTGGGGGGAAAAAAAGATGGGAGAGATATTTATCTTGCCCCACACAAAAGACATTCGCAGAAAGGGCAGAACTAAGCCTGTACAAGGAAACCGAAGCCATCTCTCACAGCACTGAAAGAATATCCCGAATTCCAGGTCACGACCATGGTTGCCAGGGCAGTAACGGAAGGCAGAGAGGCTCCTGGGAGTTTCAGGAGGCAGCCAGAGCCCCTGTTCCAGCCCCATGCGGAGGGAGAATCATTGGAGGCAGAAACATGGATTTCAGCTTCCTGGACATGCTGGCAATCTCCGGGTCCTGAGATTCGTAAGATTTTATCAAGCGGGCAAATTTGAGGACTCCTAGGGGGAAAAAGGAAAAAAGCCCTCCTGAACATGAATGTCTACTCCACCGTGCTTCTGCATATTTAACTAATTTATTCAATTTATACCCTGCCCTCCCTGCCAAAGCAGGCTCAGGGGGACTCATTGATGCCCACGGGGAGACTATGAGAAGCATTAGCGTTTGGACCCAGATTAAAGTTTTCCACCAGTGGAATGGGACTTTCCTGCCCGCCCCCAGTGGTACTCCTGGGGGGTCCCAAGGAATGACAAGAAGAAGAAGAAAGGAAGAGTAGGAGAAGAAAAAGAGACTGAATTTATACCCCACCCTTCACTCAAAAGTCTCAGAGTGGCTTACCAACTCCTTTCCCTTCCCCTCCCCCTCCCCACAACAGACACCCGGTGAAATAGGTGGGGGCTGAGAGAGCTCTCGGCAGAAACTGCCCTTGAGAGAACAGCTCTGAGAGAACTTGTGACTGACCCAAGGTCACACCAGTAGCTGCATGTGGAGGAGTGGGGAATCAAACCCAGTTTAGAGTCCGCGCTCTTAACCACTACACCAAACTGGCTTTCCATAAAGGCGGCAAGTCCTGGGAAGAAGGGATCAGTGGAAATTTTAGCCAGGATCTGCAGGACAGGACCTGCTGGCTAATCTGAGAAACGGGGTTGCCCCCCTTTCCGCTACCTCCCCCCTAATGCAGTGACCGGCACTGCATCACCCCAAAAGCACGGGGTCCTGCAGAATCCCCTTCCCCTTGCAGGCAGTTCCGCACTGGCAACACACCTTCCCCGTCGTTACTAAAGCCGTAGGGTTTGATCACATCTTGCTGGATCTGGGTGGCCACAGGCAGCAGGAACTGTAGCATCTTGCCCATGTCGTTGCCAGCATTCTCCCTCGCCTCCTCCAGGCGCTGGGCATTCTCTGGTGCTCCGAACGCCTTGATCACTTCTGCCAGGACCACTAAGGGAGGAAGTAAAAGAACAATCCTCATCAGGTATCGTGTACTTTTAAATTATCTGCCCATCTCTTGGAGGCTAACCGATGAGTCAATGAAAATGGACCTCCTGTAAATCAGTGGACTGAGGACGTTACAGCTTTATCAATATTTGAATGCATGGCACATAGACAGCAATTGCACAAGGACTTATTTTTAGGTATCCGGAAACCTTGTATAGAAACTTATGCGTAGATCTGCCATTGCTGATGTTATATTTTGACTTCTAGTTTTAGATACATATTCACTTCTTTTTTATTAATGGCTGTTGAGGTCTATCTAATTTTAAAAAATCAAAATAAAGAGTATTGGATGTTTCTTTTTGTTCTCAGCCTGCAAGGGAACCGGTCCCACTGGTGGACCTCCTGATGGCAGCTGGTGTTTTTGGCCACCGTGTGACACAGAGTGTTGGACTGGATGGGGCATTGGCCTGAGCCAACATTGGCTTCTCTCATGTTCTTATGAACTGTGTGTCTGACTGGCCTGGCATTTGGGATGGACTTTAGCAGGTCTTTGAATTTCCCATGAGTGAACAAAGAGAAGAAGAGACTGAATTTATACCCCGCCCTTCGCTACTTGAAAGAGTCTAAGAGCGGCTTACAATCTCCTTTCCCTTCCCCTCCCAACAACAGACACCCTGTGAGGTCAGTGGGGCTGAGAGAGCTCTTTTAAAGACTGCTCTTGAGAGAAAAGCTCTGGGGAAACTTGTGACTGACCCAAGGTCACACCAGCAGCTGCATGTGGGACACCACCCCCCCCCCCCCCCAGATTAGAGTCCGCATTCCTAACCACACCAAATGCCATCAAACAACCAATTCTTCCTGGAGAATTCACTGTAGCCAGCAAGGGAGTAAATCTGCTTGCCTTCAGGCATTTCACAGAGGATCTTTGAAAGATCAGCATGTAACATCATAATCGGGCGGGGGGACTGCTTCTCCACCCCTCTTATCTTTTCAAAATGTTGATGAATAGTTCTGCTGAGCTCGAAAGCTTGCGTGATGCTCAGGGTCAATCTGGTTGGTCCTAATAAAAGCCGTCACATGGATTTTGTTCTCGTTTTTGGAATCTCCGTGGGCCAATGTGGCTTTTCACTACCTTTGATCCCGGGGAAACAGCCACAGCGCACCCTGGAGGAGGAAAGGCACGCCTCCTGCTCTTACCACTAGGGCAGGGAATGAGACCTGATGCCCCAAGCGCATCCACTGCCTGGCGCAAGCATGGAGCCCTAAGCCATGCCTTTGCGGCCTTGGCATTTATTTAATTCATTTGTATCCCGCTTTTCTCCCCAATGGGGACCCAAAGCGGCTTCACATCGTTCTCCTCTCCCCTACTTTATCCTCACGACAACCCTGTGAGGTTGGTCAGGCGGACGGAGTGTGCGACTGGCCCGAGGTCACTCAGCAGGGATTCGAAACCAGGTCTCTCAGATACGAGCCCGGCATTCTTAACCATTACACCTCAGAGGTCAGGGGTTCCACAGCAGGCTGAGCCAGGTTTCTGAGAAAAGGGAGAAGAACAAGATCATCCTTGACTTCACAAAATAGTTTTCTGCAGCACAGTAGTCCAATGCAAAAGACACCTTACAGGAAGGGTAAGCATCCATCGGCTCCCTGAAGCACTAGGTCAGGGGTGGCCAAACTGCGGCTTGGGAGCCGCATGCGGCTCTTTCACACATATTGTGCAGCTCCCGGCAGGTCAGCTGGGGAAGTGAAGGGGAGGCATACTTTTTCTCCCTCCCTCCCATTTGTTTGCTTTCTTTGTTTCTCTCTCTCTTCTCTTTCTTTCCACCTCTCTTTTTCTCTCTCTCAGACAAATAAATACCATTAACAAACAAATATCATTGGACAAATAAATATGATCAGTTTCTGTTTTTACCCCTTTTGTTTTTATTTTTGGCCGTCTCATTTAATGTTAATAAAAAAGCAAATTTGCATATCTTTAAATAAAAACGTGCGTGTAATATCTGTTTGTGTTTTGCAGCTCTCAAACATCTGACATTCATTCTATGTGGCTCTTACCCTGAGTGAGTTTGGCTACCCCTGCACTAGGTCACTCACAGTTTCATGCAACAGTCAGTTCCAGTTTTCTGCCTTCAGGGAATCCTTATCATAACTCATCTGCTAAGGATCAAAAGACTTCCGAAGGAATGTTTTTAGTGCACATGCTCTGGCCAGTTTATACACGCAGCAGAAATTCTGCATTAAAGCTTTTCCTGGGCTGTACTGCATCCCGATAAGAGACCTTTTCTCCATCTTCCCCCATGCTAGAACTCAGGGTGACCCTATGAAACTGACAGGCAAGTAGCTTGGGAGAGAGATAAGGGAGGTGGGGGGTTCACAGTCAATGGGGTCTGTGGAACTCACTGCCACAAGATAACGGTGCTGGCCACTGTCACAGATGAGATTTCAAAGGGGATTGGGACAGATGTATGGAGAACAGACCTATTGCTTGCCATGACAGTCAAATGGGACTCCCTGGTTCAGAGACGGAAGGCCTTTTAAGTGGTCAGCTGCCAGAGGGCAAGGGAAGTCTTCTGTCTATGGGCCAGGATCATGCTCCTCCCCGTGGCAGCCGATAGGCCACCAGGGTTGCCAGCCTCCAGGTGGGGCCTGGAGATCGCCCGCTTTTACAACTGATCTCCAGCTGACAGAGATCAGCTCCCCTGGAGAAAATGGCTGCTTTGAAGGGTGGACTCTGTGGCATTGGACCATGCTGAGGCCCCTCCCCTCCCCAAGCCCCGCCCTCTCTCCCGGATCCACCCCCAAAGTCTCCAGGTATTTCCCAACCCAGACCTGGCAACCCTATAGGCCATTTTTGACCATCAGGATGCTGGAGTAGACGGACCATTGGACTGGTGCAAAATGGCTGTTCCGACATTCTTATGGAGCTAGGAGCTCACATGTACCCACAGGAAAAAAGACACCCTTTCTTGCATGCCTAGGTAAAGCTGATCGCCACTTTACAGTCAGGAAACAATTGTTCTCCAGGACAGTTTGGCCAGGGATCCTGGAGGGCTTTTTTTTGTTTTGTTTTGCCCTCTTCTGGGCATAGAGCAGGGGTCACTGGGAGTGTGTGGGGTTGAGGTATTCGGGAATTTCCTGCATTGTGCAGGGGGCTGGACTGGATGATCCCAAAGGTCCCTTCCAACTCTATGATTCTGTGACAGCAAAAGACAGTTTTCTGTAGTCAAGCTCACAGAAGTAAACAGAGCAGGGGATGCAACGCAGCCTCCCTTAGAGAATGTATTTTGAAAGGAGTACAGCAGAGATGCCCCGCTGGGTCAGGCCACTGGTCCATCTAGCCAAGCATCCTTCTCCATCTGCGGTCTAGCCCTCTGCCCTAGAAAGCCAGCCCACAAACAACATTAGCACCTCCTTGCAGGACTTCTCCCGCAGCACTGCTCTGTGCCCCAGAGCAAGGGCCAAAGAGGACCCTCTGACCATGTGCAGAGTGCATTTCAGCCACAACCCACTGAGTCATCCCACACAGGACGTGTGGGATGAGGGGGCAGGGCACCGCTGTCAAAGAAACCGTCTTCCTCGCCAGCATCCCTCTTTGTAAAAATGCACCCATACCCAGTCACACACACACCCATCCCACCAAGGCGCGCCCTGCATAAGCCCTCCCGTCGGCCCGCCGCAACAAACCCGATTCTCCCGGCTAGCCTACCGAGCGTGGCCCCAGACGCACGGCGAGCCGCCTCCACTCACCTTTGGCTTGCTCCGCGCTCAAGGAGACGGGCTGGGCCTGGGTGGAAGCAGCCACGGGCCGCTGGAGGCTGGACATGGGGCCGTGAGAAAGGAGCCGCGAGATCGGGCTCGCAAGGCGGGGTGCAGAGGGGAGACCGAGCCCGGCGGGGGCGCACGGGGCTCCCCTCCCAGGAACCCTCCTCCCTGCCTGCTGCTGCGCTTCCAAACGCTGCAACGGCCTCGACGCAGCCCACAAAAAAGCCGCACAGCTCTAGGCAGGCTTCCCGGGCAGGGCCAAGCACAAGCGCCGGCTTCCCACCCCCCCCAATCCCCACCCACGAACCGTGTCAACGCCCCTGGCTCGTCTCCGCCTCCCCACTTCCGCGCTGGAAACCGGATTTCAAAGGTGGAGCTAAACTCGCCACGCCCGCTTTATTCCTCCCTTTTCGTCTCCCATCTATCCAGAAGGTTGCGCTACGGAACTCGCCGCTACTAGACGCGGGGAGAGACAGTTTGGCTTTCCAGGGCGACGAAACATACTGATAATTGGCCACGGCTAGGTGGGAAGGGAACAGCGTTCCGTGCGCCTTGGTGTTTAGTCATGCCGGCCACATGACCACGGAAACGTCTTCGGACAGCGCTGGCTCTTCGGCTTTGAAACGGAGATGAGCACCGCAACCCTAGAGTGGGACTCCACTGGCTTTCGAGCAAGGGAACCTTTACCTTTACTAGGTAAAGCGAACTTCCATATTCCGAAGCAGTGAACTTAAAGTCGGGAGGGGGGGGGGATCTGCGTCGTCCTTAGATTCCCGTTCATGCGCTTTCCGGGAGCCTCCGGCTGTCCGCGGCTGGAAACAGAATTTTGGACTGGATTATCCCTTGTTCAGGTGCCTCGTGCCTATTGGCTGAAGTCGCTCTTCCTTTTCTTGAGACTCTTATGGCGCGGCCCTTCATAGGGACTAGGAACCTGATTAATATGGCAAACGCAGCCTAGAGACCGGGAAATCCTTGATCCCAAACTCCAAGACCTCAGAAGGCACCCTCAGGCAAATTGTTGCCCTCACTATTCATAAAAGCGCTCCCCGGTAAATAATAATGTAAAATTAATGTCAGACGAAGTGAATTGAGCTTGCTTTACAAAGCCGTTTTGTGGGTGCATCGACAGCAGTATATGTGGAGCGGTTTCAGTGCTTACGAGAAATTCCCTGAATTTAAGTATTGCTGGTATTAACTAGTAAAATGAATTATGTCCTAAATTTAATTGGAGATATGAATGGGGCAAGATCAATGATGGAAAATATTGATGTGTTATTGGAAAGGATTATAAACAAGGACTTTTTAATGTTCAGATAAGGATATGCTGTGGTTAAGTAAACATAATAAAAAAAAATTTGATGTGGTTAACTAAACATAATAAAAAACCCATTACGCATTCATGATCTGACTTTTTACTATGTTTTGTGAGGCTCTCCGCTACAGCAGAAAGCCTACTAGACAAATACAAAAAGAGCTGAAATCACTAGCTAGAAAAGGCCTGTCGGTGTTCATCCGCTGAAAACGGAGCACGACTCAGATTATGGTGGGCAACGTATGACGCCGTATCTCGTCCTTGTTGCTGTTCTAGCCCCAATTACGTCGTTCTTGAAAATAGCTCAAGTTATTGTTTGCAAAATTTACCTATTTATCCATTAAAAAGCGGGATTAAGCACAGTCGAGCTGATATGCTAATCAATTCCATTTCATTGGTCACCACAATCGAAGCCACGCCCCACCAGTGATGACGACAGGCGCCACGGAGAAAGAATCCAGAATAAATTTCCAAGAGGAGAGCTTCTTAAAGTGACAGGACTGTGAAAATCTCCAGCCAGTTCTTTCTCCTTTGGCATCCAATGTAAGCAGGTCGTGGTGGGTCAGAAGCTGGTGCTTTAGAGGCTGCACCAAGGTCAGATGGTCATGCAACTGGCTTTTTAAAATGGTATTCAGTCACCTTTGTGTGCAGGGTAATATATGGAAAAACAAAACGAGTGTGCAGGGCACTGTATGAAAAAACCACCACCCATTTATGCCTTGAGGTCGTGATTTTGCTAAGCAACTGGGGCAGGCAGCGCAAACCCGATTCTGTGCTGCAACCAGGCTCTACAAGCGCTGCAGTCCCCTGTTCTATCAGCCACGCGTGGTCACTGAGGCCACAGATCCCCCCCCCAAGTGAACAGCGCCACTGGTCTACTGGGCTGCCCCACCTCTCCCAGAGAGCTTGCCTTTCTCCACGGTGCAATAAAACCTTGTTTGTGTGATTGCCGTTATCTTGGAAGAAGAGGAGATGGAATTTATACCCCGCCCTTCACTTGGGAGTCTTAGAGCTTCTTACAATCTCTTCCCCCTCCCCCAACAGACACCCTGCAAGGTAGGTGGGGCGGAGAGAGCTTTTTCGAGAAGTGCTCTGAGAGAACTGTGACTGACCCAAGGTCACACCAACAGCTGCATGTGGAGGAGTACGGAATCAAACCCGGCTCTCACAGATTAGAGTCTGCGCTCTTAACCAATACACCAAACTGGCTCTCGATGACATTGATTCAGTGTGGTAAACAGACTGTTACCCTGGTGCCCCTAGGTTCAACCCCTGTATTGTCACGATGCTTGCATCAGTCCCACTCTTTAAGCATAACCTACCTCACAGGGTTGTTGTGAGGCTATAATGGGGAAAGGAGAATCAATGTGAGCTCCTGGAAAGGACGGGATTAAAACACTAGGTAGATAGCTTCTGGGGCTGTATCCTAGACCCCTCTAGTCTGTGTTTGCCCTACTGCGGGGAGGGGGGGGGATGTTATTTCTTCTCTTCTTTGCCTCACAGAGTTCTGTGACGGCTGCCCCATTTTCCCAACTGCCTTCTGTTCGGCTCCATGTCAGGGCTCCAGGGCTGTAGCCAGGATTTTTCGATTTGTGGGGCAATTTTTTTTCTTGTGGGGCGCATGCACACACACACACTCTTTAGCCAGAATAAACAATGCATCCTCCATTCCCAAAAAAGTTTGTGAGCCCACAGACCGCTGAACCAACCAAGTGCAAGGGCTCTCTTCCGCAGACCTTTGAACCAACCAAGTGCAAGGGCTCTCTTCTCTCCCTCTCAATGTCGGGGGCTTGGGCTGAATGGGAGGTCTTGGCAGTCAGGGGGCCGGGCCCTGAGAGGCCCCACTTTAGCTCTGGGTCCACAGGGCTCTTTTAACCGTTGTCCTGCTGCTCTGGGCAGGGACTCACAAAGGATAAAGGTGATGGCGGTTGCTCACAGGTACCATCGGGACTGACGTGCACAACATTTTCTTGGGGAAATTGGAACTGCGTGATGTATAGTTGCTCAAAGGTACCATTTGGGACCAATGTGCGCTACACTTTCTTGGGGAAATTTGAGCCCAACAATTAGAAGTTGATGAGCATCACCATGAGACGTGAGAGTCAAGGTGATCTGGCCACGCCCAAACCCCAAGGTTCCCCCAGGTTGGTGATTTGTGGGGTGTTTCTGCCATCAAGACACAGCCAACTTATGGGGACCACTTCTTGGGGTTTTCAAGCCAAGAGATGAACAGAGGTGGTTTGCCATTGCTAGCCGCTGCGTAGCGACTCTGCACTTCCTTGGCAGTCTCCCTTCCAAGGACTAACCAGGGCTGACCTTGCTTGGCTTCCAAGAGCTGATAAGTTCACAGAAGTCTGGGCTATCCAGTCAGGGCCTTCTGGCTTTCTGAACTCAAACTGCAGCAGCCGTGGAGGAGGAGGAGGAGATTGGATTTATACCCACCCTTCACTCGGAGACTCAGAGCGGCTTACAATCTCCTTCCCCTCCTCACAACAGACACCTTGTGAGGTAGGTGGGGCTGAGAGAGCTCTTTTGAGAACTGCTCTTTCCAGAACAGCTCTGAGAGAACTTGTGACTGACCCAAGGTCACACCAGCAGCTGCACGTGGAGGAGTGGGGAATCAAACCCGGTTCTCCCAGATTAGAGTCCGCACTCCTAACCACTACACCAGACTCCTGCTTGATATGGCAGGAACCAGAGGGAACAGGCCAGGGTTATCCAAGGTGCTAGAAGGCAGGAAGAAAGGAGTCTTCCTCCATCCCACTGCTAAATCATGCGTCACGCAGCATCTACGGCCAAACAACTCCCGCTCCGTTCCAGAGGGACAGATCCCATTTCCAAAGTGTCCTGTTCTGCTTCCACTCTTCGCAACAAGACAGCAAAGGGGGGTGGGGGGTGGGATTGTTTTAAAATGTTGGGTCTCTTGGATTAATAATAGCTAGTGGTTATACAGGCCGCGAATACACCAGAACCATTTCAAGGAAGGACTTCTTGTTCGTTTTTTGTTTCTTTTAGGGGCAAGGGGGGGGAAATCGGGTGTGTAGGGAGATTTTTCTCCCATAGTTGGGAATCTTTTAATGTTCTTATGTAAATATATATGAGGACAGATCAAGATATACAACCGTGAGATCAGACACACACGCGAGGGAGATCAAGGAATCACAAACTGCTACGCAAAACCGCCACATCTAACGGGATGTGCATGAGTTAAAATACATCAACTGGAATGGGGTGAAGGGGGTGGGGGGAAGGAGGGGCAGCTGCCATCTTGGGAAACAGTCCCGCCATGCTTCCGTGTCGCTTGGCCACGTTATTCCCCCCCCCCCCGAAGAGACAGGGGGGGAAAGAAGAGTTGCCATCCCGGTGACCGCCTTGCGGCTCTCCCCACCCCCACCCCCCAACGTCCACTCGCAGCATGGATACAAAAGGCAGCGTGCCCCTCTCGAAACAGTCCCGGGGCGCTATGCGCCTCTCGGCGTGGCCCAGTCCCTCAAGGGTTACGCAAGAGCGCGCCAATGCCGTCTTGAAAAGTCCCACGATGCACTGCTTCTTCCGGACTATAGTGTGTGTCTCGAGGCGGAGAGGGAGGGGGCATCCTTTCCAGTCCCATCATGCTCTGACTGGCGGCATCTGCCCGAGGAAGGGGGAGGGGGGGGAAGGGCAGAGAAGGCCTGCCGGATGGGTTACACTTTTGTTGCCGATGGGATACGAGTGAAAGTCGAACCGTTTGTCCCAGAATCCTCGGGGGCGTTGAACACCCCGACGTCGTCCCTCCCCTCTCGCCACCCTCCCCCTCCCAGAGTGACCGTTTGGGGCGTTTCTTCACGCTTCGTCCGTCTTGCCTTCCATCCTCAAGCAAGAGCAGAAAACGTGAGGCCTTGTGCAGCTTTTCCCCTGGGGAGGGGTGTTAACGTTGGTCGGTTTTCCTCCTTCCTTCCTTCCTTTTCGCTTTTTGAAGGAGGCGGCGGCATGATGAAGTCACAGCAGGGGAAATGGGGGCCCACTTAAAGGGGCTTGTCACTTTCTGGGGGGCGGGGGGGGGGGGGAAGACAAAGAAAATGGAGGGGGGGAGAGAGACGGTGAGCAACGCAAGCCCTCACTCGCGGAACTTTATTTAACTCGTTGCAAGTCCTCCAGGCACTCTCCGAAGAACTAGCTTCATGTGTTGACGACGATACAGGGGATCCGACATTTTGGAGTCAGAGGCAAAAAACCCCACCCCATTGTGGAGTCAGGGACATGGCGCAACGAGTCATTCTCCAGCAGAAGCGTTGCTGAACTGAACGTGAGCTGCCCAGCAAGGCTGTTACGTAGCTGCTGCAGGTTCCTTTCAGTGTGGCTTTCCACAGGAGCGCTCTCTGCCAGCCATAGCACCCCTAAATCTGTCTCTTCTGGCCCTCTCCTTTTCCTGCAAGGCCTGATTTCCATCTACCAACCAGCCCGGCCCTACTGGAAAGCCCCCCCCCACCCATGGGAGGCGGAAGGTGATTGCCCCTTTACGATCAGGCACTCGGTCGTGACAGCTGATTGGCTGGCCGGAAAGAAGGACCAGCCCTACTCAGAGTCAGAGGGAGGCCTTACAAATTAAGAACGTCTGCTCTGGAAGCAAGACTTCTAGAGCTGCCGTTTCCCAAACACTGGCCTTCAACGGGGGCTTCCCATGTTTATTTGTCTACCGAAGAACCTTATGGTTGCCAACCTCCAGCTGGTAGCTGGAGATCTCCCACCCATTACAACTGATCTCCAGGCGACAGAGATCAGTTCACCTGGAGAAAATGGCCACCGTGGAAGGTGGACTCTGTGGAATTGCTCTCCCATTGGAGTCCCTCCCCTCCCCAAACCCCACCCTCCCCAGGATCCACCCCCCCCCAAATCTCCAGGTACTCCTCAACCCAGAGCTGGCAACGCTAATCTGGTCACCTGCCATGGATCCCCAGTGCACTGCAAAAAGAGTCTGACTCTGGAGAATGTTCTAAGTTGTGCAAACAGGGTGAGTGGCGCCCTGGTCACATGGCCTAGAACACACCCAATGTCTCTGCCACTGTGTTCAGTGTGGCAGGCTCCTAATGGAGAACAGTAGTTGGGCTGTCATCCAAGGAAACTTGCCTTGGACAAGAGAACACCTAGTGAGCTTCTCAAGAAACCTCAAGGTTATCCCAGAACAGTTTGAAAAGTACACACACTCCAAGCCCCATCGACTGGTGCATTACAGGCTCTTCTGGTTTTGGTTTTTTTTAAAAAACTATTTGTTTCTTTTGCAAATCCAACCTGCAGGGTTGCTTTATCATGGAGAATAGGGAAATCCGTGTATAATAGATGTATGCTTAAGGTAGATCTATTTTGTGCGTTTAATTTTTTAAATGTTTCTATACTATTATATAAATATTAGTGTCAGGTATTACCAAAACAATACATCAAAGTGCAGGTTTACATTGTGTTCAGACATTGGAACAGCACCTTGTCAGTTTCACAACCACTAGTCCCAGGGGACTCTAGTAATTTACTCATATGGAATATAATCTTTTTCAAGGACAGTAATATATTTACAAGACATAAGGTGCAATAAATTCTCTTTGTGAGTATAAAAATCTTAAAATAGCAGCATTTTTCTAGGGTCCCATTGGAACACTTGCGGCAGACATAATAATCTATCGAGGAGAACATATCTCTCAAATTCTATCAGATTATATTCGATAGGGGTAAATTACTAGAGTCGCCTGGGACTAGTGATTGTGAAATTGACAAGGTGCTGTTTGAATCTCTGAACATAGTGTAAACCTGTACTTTGATGTATTCTTTTGGTGAAACTATGTTTGATAATACTTGACACTAATCTCTCCTTATATATAATTGAATAGTGGGTGCCAAAGTTCTAATTCTAAAATGCACTCCCTTAGTGTATGGCTGATGGCACTGCTCCTCAGCATATATCGCCACCAATCAGAAGGCAAAGCCCGGGTCCCGCCCACACCACAACTGCTGCAACAACCTGGTCTTTTGCATATGGAAGCTGATTGGGCTTCAGTCCATTCCACACCTCAAACTCCCCCCCCCCCGAAAGGCAGTTGGAATTTTCCGTTGCATAACATACCTCACAGCATTTTTCTAGGGTCCCATTGGAACACTTGCGGCAGACATAATAATCTATCGAGGAGAACATATCTCTCAAATTCTATCAGATTATATTCGATAGGGGTAAATTACTAGAGTCGCCTGGGACTAGTGATTGTGAAATTGACAAGGTGCTGTTTGAATCTCTGAACATAGTGTAAACCTGTACTTTGATGTGTTCTTTTGGTGAAACTATGTTTGATAATACTTGACACTAATATTTATATAATAGTATAGACAACTTTAAAAAATAAAAAGCACAAAACAGATCTACCTTAAGCATACACAGTGTCATATATTTTTCCATATCTTCCTAACACTGGGACCGTCAGTTTTTGTATTATCATGGAGAATGGCATGGGGGGAGAGGGAAACTTCAATCCTTACAGTCACACACACACTCCGAAATAAGCACACCCTCAAGCTGCTTTTACCCCCATGGGGGGAAATCACAAGGTTCTGTATTTATTATCCCAGCGGGGATAAAAGCATCCTGAGGGGATTTTTTCCCCCAGCAAGAAAATAGCAGGAGAGGAAAGGGTTAAAGTTCCCCTTTCTCCCCTCCCCCTTCATTCTCCTCCTGGATAAAGCAAACCTGGAGGCTGCATTTGCAAAAGGAAACAAGCAAACCAACCCTAAAAACTCTGCCTTGGAACAGATTATTTCTTCATTTCCATTTTCTGGATCCTCTCTTTGCTTTGGTGAAAGAAGTGGGTAGCCACCACCTCTAAGCTGTGGAGTCTTGTGAGCAAAAATGCCACTTTGTGAGCTACCGGCATTAAAGTTGGGAGCGAGCGATGTGGCTGCTGCATAAATTAGTTTGCTCCGGAGCCGTCCTTCCTGCACTGAGACAAAAACGGGTGAGCCAGAGGCTAAAAAACTGTGAGCTCTAGCTCACACTGACTCAGCTTAGAGGGAACACCAGACCCAACCTTAGGTGGCAGCAAGGAACCACTCAGTGGTAAGCACATGGCCGGAAGAGGAGGAGCCGGAGTATGCAAAGCTGCCCATGTGAGGAAGGAATTCCTTCCATTGCTGACAGGTTGGTCTTGCTGCTTGGGTCAGTGTGCATATGCCGAGGCAGGCAGGGGTTCAACAGGTATGCCCTCGCAGCAGGTCCTTCCAAAAAGAAATCAGATCAGCCTTATAGGAGCTTGTGACCCAGCCTGTAGAGATCTGTGACCCGGCTGAAGGTTCGAACCCACGGGCTGGAGGGCACGGGCGACGGCAAGAAAAGCCAGAACCTTATTTATTTTTGATGAGTATTTTGTGTGTATGTGCTTGCATGCCTGGAAGTGGAAGTCATGGTGACTTCTGGGGACCCGTAGTGGGCCTAGGATGTTTCAGAGAGGTGGCTTGCTGTTGCCTGCCTCTACGTCCCGGCCTTGGTATTTCAAGGAGGTCTCCCATCCAAGTACTTGCCAGGTTTGGACCTGCTTAGCTTCCGAGATCTGAGGATATCGGACTTGCCTGGGCTAACATCCCCTCTCTCTTCTGCATTCTTATCCAAAGCAAAGTGGCCCTACCGTCTTCTGGTTCCCCTTTCCTTCATCCACTGCTGTGTGCCTTTCATAGAATCATAGAGTTGGACGGGTCATCCAGGGTCATCTAGTCCAACCTCCTGCACAATGCAGGAAATTCACAAAGACCCCCCACACACACACACACCCAGTGACCCCTGCTCCAGGCCCAGAAGATGACAAAAAAAAACCAAACTCCAGGATCCCCAGCCAAACTGGAGAAAAATTGCTTTCTTGCCCCACAGTGGCGATCAGCATTTCCCTGGGCGTTTAAGAAAGGACCATGAGAACGAAGCACTGATCCAACCCTGCCTGCAGCCTCCCTCTCACGACCTGCCTGGATATATAAAAAAATATAAATGAGCAGGAACTCATTAGCATATTAGGTCACACCCAACAGCAGAAACCTATTAGCATATTAGGCCACACCCCTAACAGCACAGCTCATTACCATATTAGGCCACACCCCACATGTTACCAGAAGTGTGGTCATCCAACCACACCCACCTTTTGCTTCTTATTCGGTTTACTTTGTTGTCAAAACCCAGAGCCTTTTTTTTGTAGCAGGAATACCTTTGCATGTTAAGCCACACACCCCTAATGTAGCCAATCCGAATGAGTTGCTGCTGTTGGGTGTGGCCTATTATGCTAATGAGTTCCTGCTGGGCGTGGCCGGCCAACTCGGGAGCCAGCCGGAACTCCGTTCCTGTGCATTTCTGCCCCAAAATAGCCCTATATAAATATATATATATATCCCACTTTTCTCCCTAATCAGAACCGAAAAGGTCCTGCCGCATTGTTCTTCTTCCCTCCACTTGATCCCTGCTACCACTTTGTGAGGCAGGTTGTGCTGCGAAATCGTGATGGGCCCAGGGTAACCCGGCAAGTGACCACGGCAGAGCGGGGATTCGAACCCAGTTGTCCCAGGTCCTCGTCTGACACTCGGGCCACTGTGCCAGGCTGGCTCCACATATGTCTATCCTGGCCTTCCAGTTTGTGCTTCTCTCTCACCCGGCTCATTACCAGGCATTTGTTGGGGGGGGAGGGGCAGTCATGGACCGGAGACACCCTGGAACGGGGAGGGGGGTATCATAACCCATGGCGGGAAGAGCCGACAATTTAAAATCCAAGACGACTAGTATGTTTAAGCAAGGGAACTGGAGACTTGCTTTTAAAAATAAATAAATAAACGGAAGCAGACAATGTGAGGAAGAGGCCCAGAATATCCCTGAGGAAGCCGGGCCCCAACGACTCTCCCCCCCCGCCCCCCTCCTGTCC